ATATGACTTTTATAAATTTGTAATTATATATAATTACATACATATAATTATTATATTAAATGATATATGTATTGCTTTGAGCACCGTCAGGCACATTCCAAGTGTTCGCTGTAATTATTTTCTCACCCTGGCAAGAGGATAGCTCACTCTTTTGGATATTCCCAATAAAATAAGGATAAAGCACATTTTAAAAAACTTTTTCTTATGGAAAATCTTAAACATATGTGAAAGTCGAGAAAATGGCATAATGATTCCCATACACCATCACTGAGTTTCAACTGTCATCAATATGGGCAATTCCATATTGTCTGCAAACCCACATTCATCTCCTCCATTCCCCACCCTCTGCTGCTGGGTGACCTTAAAGCAAATCCCAGATATGATATCCTTTCTTCTGTCAACATGTCAGTAAGTATCTCTAAAAGACAAGGACTCTTCAAAACATCACTACCCTGTAATTACATACATAAACACTAACAAGAATCCCTTCATATTATCAAATAGCCGGTGAAACCCTCATGTTCTTAAAGTTCAGCCAGACCAGCCACCTGGTCTCATCATCCTGGAGCCTTGATTGAGACTGTTCCTCAGCCGGTTTCTCTGCTTGCCCCACTCCAGGTGCAGGATGCTGTGGCATTGATCTGCTACTTGGTCTGGCTGGAGAAGAACGTGCCCAAAGGCACAGTGGACGAGTTCTCAGGGGCACAGCTACTGGACACATTCCGAGGGTGAAGGACCACGGCTGTCTTTTTTGGCTGATTATCTTCTAATGTGGGGGTGGGGGAAGGGAGGGGGACTTGGTCTCCATACTTTGGGGGAGAAGAAGACCCTCCTTGTGTTTGGGGGCCTCTCTGGAACTATGAGTGACTGGTTCTTGGGTGGTCCTGGAGCTGGGCAGGGAGTGTTGGGTGACATTCTCCAGCCCCAGCTGACAGTAGAACAACTTCAAGGGCCACAACCCAATATCACCCCCTAGTGCCTGCTTCAGGCATAGCTCGTTCTCCCTGGGGGCAGTTGGTTCAGATCTATTGGCCCCTGGACCACTTGACAATATAAAGTTAAAGATGGAGGTTTCCTGAGGGCACCAGGTCATAGGCAGGCTGTAGGTTTGAGGTGAAGGATGCTGCTCCCGGGTTAGGGAAGTTTTTAAATACAGGGAACTAGGTTTCTTCACTCTTGCTTTACCACGAACACACTGTGGGTCATATAGGCCTTGGTTTCCCCATCTGTAAAATGGAGGTGGAGGAGGAATAACTAGTGTATACAGTCCCTCCTTCTCTGACCTTGAGTGCTCTATAAGTGGCAGGTCAGGACTTGGGAAGATGGAACCAAGAGGTGGGACTGGGAGAGTCTGGCTGAGGTAGAGGCAGCTGTGACCTTCATTTGCCCTTGTTCGATATCCTAGGCCCATTCATTGACCATTCCTGCCTTGTACTTTGTAGAAAAGAAAAGTTTTCCTCTGGACCCAGTTTCCAAACCATCTCTGCTAGTGGTCTTAACGCTGCCCTGGCCCACTACAGGTACTTCAGGAAAAAGAATTTTCTGGGGATCCCAGTGTATGAGCAGGGGGAGTGGGGGTGGAGGAAGTAATGCTCTGGGACCCGAGTCCATATTTAAACTTTGAGGCCTTTAGCACTGTGGGGGCTGAGGGTGGGGAGTGGGGCCCAGTGGGTAGGTTGGGGGGTCTCCTTAGAATTAAAAGGCCCGAGTAATTTTCCCCCAAGAGGCTGTGACTTTGTGAGCACTCGGGGCTAAGGGATCTGGAATAGAAGCAGGGCTGATGCTGGATGCTTTTCCTTGATGTCCTGTGAGTTATTTATGTGAGTTAATTCTTAAAGCTCACAAGCATATGGGGAGAAAGGCCTGTTCATTCAGCCTGAACCAACTAAGGTGGGCCCAAGATGTAGGCTGGCTAAATGTTTGGCTCCATAGGACACAAACATCTGTAGGCCTGCCTGATGAAATTTGGGAGGTCAAGCTGACCAGATGCCTCAGGCTGGCATGGGCACAACAAGGCTAGGTCAGACATCCTCCAAGGGCCAGCCTAGCCTATCCCAGAATTCCCTCCCGTGGCATCTCCCAAGTCCTCAGCTGCCTTGGCCTAGGTAGGAACTCCTTGGCCTTACCAAACCTTGCTCTCCAGCCCCATCCTTGAGTACCTGCACCTTGGCTCCTCAGGTCCCTCTGCTCTAGGAGGCAGCAGGAAGTTAGAGAAAGAGTCCAGGCCCAGCTCCCTCCCCGCTTTACCCCGTGGCTTTTGCAACTCCCTTGGCCTCTGCAGACTGGTTTCTCCTTATGTAAAAGGTGATGACCGCAGTGAGTGCTCTCTGCAGTTCTCCCAGCCCCCACATTCTGGGAACTTTCCTTCTCTCCTCCCTGGAGACCGGGGCCTTGCTTGTGAAGTGCAGGATAAACAGATACATGCTGAGGACATTAGTGGCAGAAGCTGAGGACTTTCCTAGGGCCCTTTGGGAGATAATGACTTCACCAAAGGAGTCAACCTAAAAGTCCAGCCCCCAGGGGTGAGGGGGGTTCCTCTGCTTTCATAGAGGACCCCCACCCCACCCAGCACAGGGATTGGCTGCTCCTTTTCTCAGCATCTCTCCCCTTCTCAGCCCATCAAAGGAGGTACACCGCAAGCTGACTTCAGATGAGATGTACCTGGTGGATTCTGGGGGACAATACTGGTATGTAGCCTCTACCACACTCTGGCCTGGCTGTCTCAGCCCAGACACCTTGGGTGGCCAATAGCTGGCCAAAGCTTTCCCATCCTGATCATGGATTCTTCATCCGAGAAAGGAAAGGCCTGCATTGAATGAGCTTTCCCATTTTTACA